TTTCAACGCTATTAGAGTGTTGTACACTGACTAGTACACAGCACATCTTTATAGATTAAATAATTGACTTACTTAAATAATAAAAACAGAACAAAATTGTCTGTTCCTGCTGCTATCTAGTCAAACAGGTCGTTCGGTCTTTACTGCTGTTCTGAGGCTTTCCTCTGCTTCTTTCACTCTCATATCTGCGCTGCTCCACATGCAGGTGCAGTTCAGTCTGTCCACGAGCAGACCTAGTATGTGCACAGATCCACTGCAGTTTAATGGACCGTGGAAGCAGACAAGCATGGAGTGGAAAGACATAGTAGAGAAAGAAGATAGAGGACGGGAGGAGAGAGTTACTCTGTATAATGTCTTTTACATTACTCGCATGGGCTAATAGTTGTGACTGGATTACTTTTTGTTGGTTCTAATATACAAAACCTTTCTTGTTGTAAAGAAAGAAAGTGAAGGCACAGGGGAGGTGTGGAGGAGGTTGTTTTGGTCTGAGATGCTGGTGCTTGAGCTTCATCCAGTGAATGTTGCACACAGAGCCTGTGACTCACTGTAACACTGAGCACAAACCATCAAGGCAAAGAAGTTAAAACAAAGAGAGAGCTGCTGCAGGGAGAAAGAAAGAATGAATTTAAAATGTTGGAGCCACAGCCTGTGAAAACCATGCCAACTATGTGGGGCATGTGGCAACACACATGCACCAAGCAGCAGTGCAAGGGTCTTAACAGATTAGTGGTGGGTGGGGGGCACCGACACACTCTACCTCCACTGAACTGGATTGCAACATGGTGTAACTGGTGTGTGTGTGCGTGTGTGTGTGTGTGTGTGTGTGTGAGAGAGAGAGAGACAATAAAGATGCCATGACTTTGCCGTATCCATAAGCAAGTGGTACAACTACAATACATATCAGGAAATGCTGTGTCGACATTATGTTGCATTATTTTTGCATTCTGTTGATCGCATCATACTGCTGGAACAATTTTGCTATTTTTGTTTCTCATTTTCCCTGATGAAGGAGAGCTGCTTCATTACATTTTAAAAGAGATCAACTCATTATCAAGAACGAAGAATTAAGAAGAGATTCAGCAAAAACTGAAAAAGCAGAGGGAAGCTTTTAAAGCATCACATTCAACAACATCCAGACTGTATTCACGTTGTGTTAGCTTGTCCACCTCCCTAACTCTCTTTATGTACCAGCAAACAAAAAAATCATGAAATAGTGTTTGAACAGGTAAGGTGGTGTAAGTTCAATGAAAGAATTAAAAATATATGATTTTATGAGGTGTTAATACCTGACAGACACACCTCCTCTACTACACAGACTGACAGACAAACTGACAAACAAGCAAATTAAATAAAAATAAAAAAAATAGACTGAGTAGCTAAACAAAATAACAAAATTATTCCCAGTCTAGTGTGTGAGTGTGTGTGAGAGAACAATGAGATCCCTCAGCATGTGGTGCAGAACGTAGCACACACACACAGGCAGACCACACGCATCAGCTGTATACATCCAAAACTTGCACTGACAATAAATATTAAATAAGATTGTTTTGATGCCAAAAATCAGGAACTAACCAGCATTATCAGCATTTAAGGCAAGCGGCTTATTTAGCAATTTGCGCTGTTCTGTATTAGATTTATATTCATTGTATTGCAGTGTTTACATTATTTATTATTTATAAGTCTATCTTTGGAGCGCAACATGGAATGTGTTCCATAATGCAGTACATTGACAATGTAATTTTTCTTGCATATGGACTTAATAGTAACAGATGCATACAAGAGGTTTTCATGTAACAATAAGAGGATATACAGTACACAACAGAAGTGAGTCCAGTATGATTTAAATGTCAAACGATTCAAAATTGTATCACCTCTTAATAACTCCTTTTAAAAATTTAAAACTAGCAGTCAAGATTTAGAATACCTTTCCCGCACTCAGAAAGCAACACACTGAAAGTCAGAACAGCTTTCTTTATTGTGACTGAAGTCTTTCATTTTTTCAGTGCTCGTATGTTCACCTTTACTTTTGTTGGAAGACTCAATCCTCCTCAGCATAGTGGAAAACAGTATCGTAAACATTTCCTTGAGAGAGGTTCTTCTCCTCTTTGCTGGAGGAGTTATATTACCCTACCTCTCTCATTACAATACCCCAACGATATTCTATTGGATTTCAGTCAGATAACATACTTGTCCACTTCAGAATTTTGACTTTATTCTTCTTTCGATGCTCTTGTCTGATTTTGGTCATCTTGCCAGCCAGTATTTTGGTACACACGTGGACAAAATAGTTGGTACCCCTCGGTTAATGAAAGAAAAACCCACAATGGTCACAGAAATAACTTGAATCTGACAAAAGTAATCATAAATAAAAATTCATTAAATTAAGCAATGACAATCAGACATTGCTTTTGAACCGTGGTTTAACAGAATTATTTTAAAAAATAAACTCATGACACAGGCCATGAAACAGGACATTCATGATGCCATCTATACATGCATGATATCATCACGCTCCCACCTCCGTGCTTCACTGTCAGGACTATGCTTTTATTGTGGTAGTCCTTGTCAGGTTCACGACAAACATGCTGGATACTGTCTAAGTTGAACAAATTTGTCTTGATGTCGTCAGACCAAAGAGTGTTTGCCACTCTTCATTAGACTTCGTTTCTTGTTGTTTAGCTAAATTTAATCTTGCAATTTTTTGCTGAAGAACAAACAAGGGATGCACCCCTTAAAACATTTACATCAGGCTATATTCTTTGCACTGCTTGAGCTGTCACGGAAACTCAGATCTCTGTTGATTACCCCTGAGCCAAGTCAGAAATAAATGCACTTCTGTTTGTCAGAGCAAGACTGTGCAAGTTGTGCACTGGCCATGGCATTATTTTAGGAACTTGCCCTCTGCAGCTCTGATAAGCGGTAATGTGGCTCGTTCTGTACCTCCTGATAATTGCTGCAACTGATTTCTTCTGAATTTTAGTTGGTCACAGATCTTCTTGTGTCTTTTTTACTCTTGGTGAAGTCTCACCCTGTGCAATATCATTTAAATTTCTAACAAAGATGCCAAGAGTCAGTTGTTGCTTTAGTGAGAATTGGTTCTGAGGCAGGTGAGCTAAAGGCAGAAAATGTGTGTTGAAGTCTCCCAGACAGCCATGTTGACTTCATAAGTCTCCTGTGTGAAGGCGGAGGCAGATTAGTATAGACAGGCTGCTAGATGAATGGTTTTATCATTTGTTTGTATCTGTCTCATACATAACATACCTGTGACAGCTGGGGAGCTGAGTAAATGTTATCAGAGAGCTTCTATTAATCAGGGCTGGGGCCGGGCATGATTAAACTATGATCAGGCTCATAAATACAGATACACCAATGTGGGATATTTTGTCATCATTCATATTTCTGTAGCTGATATGATGAAATGCACTTTAAAGGGCTTTTCTTTTTTTTTTTCACCTTTTTTTTTTAAACCTCGGAATAAGTCATATACCACAGACCTTATAACATACTATTAGCTATATTTTGAGTGGTGTGATTTTCTGACAAAACCCTCAAAATAGTGACGGGGGGGTTTGTTTTAGTAGAAAAATTCCATGAAGGGAGAGAGCTGTAATAAAAATTAATCAAAGAAATTCTGTTTTTTTTTTGTTTTTTTTTCTTGTTTTAATGATTTATGGCTTTAGAACTTTGATATGTTGCAAAAAAATTATATGCTTTCATTTTTGGCCGCTGCTTTAGCTCACCTGCTTCAGCTGGTGACCCATGTACAGGGGCTGTAGTCTCCGAAGCAGCAGTTACGGGTTTGAATCCCACTCATGGACCTTTACTGCAACCTCTTCCCCCATTCTCCTCCCCCACTTTCCTGTCTCTCTCTCAACTGTCCTATCCAATAAAGGCCCAAAAAATAACTTATACAAACAAATTATATGTTTTTTGATCTAGCCACTTTTAGCCATGGCTGTGCTGTTTCCATGAAGATGCAGGACTTTACAGTAAATAATGAGCCCACAGTGACGACAGATGAGACAAACCACCCAGAAACTGCTTGTGGTTCAGAGGTTTAATCGTGTCTTTACATAGAAATGTAAAAACAAGATATTTGGGCACAAACAACACCTAGTGTTGAAGTAGTAACTCTGCATAGCATCTGATGATTGTCATTAACGATTTCTTAAATTGTGTCCACATTCACTAGTGCTTACTTTCCACATTTTGGTTTCTCAATATGAAGTGTATGCATTAGTGGAGTCCTCAAAATTCCCCGCAAAGCAATAAAAGTAATAGTCAATAACATCCACACCCCCTATTTTAATACAGCTAATAATATACAATTCCAGTTCATATGCGAGGCCTCACCTCTCCAGTGGGTTCTGGTTGTGTTTCGGTTAACCAGCACATGAAAATGACAGCGATAGAAGTGAGGAATGATGAAGGATATTTAGGAGGGTTACTTGTGCTGTGTTGTATCCCACAGCTGTTGTGGTTTCCCAGGCTGGCTGGTTGACTCTACACTCCAACATATAATACAGAGTTTAAACAGGCAGACAATAGGGTAGCCTGGTTCCCACGACAACTATGACAGGACCCCCGCTCTGTTTCTTTTGCTTCTGTGAGTGTCTGTGTGTTAGCGGCATGTTTTAATGAGACTGAATAACCTTTAGTCTCCATTCAGTGTAAAGAAGCAATAAGTTCTCTTTCAAAGGTTAGAAAGCCTTTTAGTTGTTTTTTTAACTTCTCAGACTGATGAAGAGTCTACTGTAGTACATTTTCTCCCTTGTAATTTGCCATAGTCACAAAAACACATGCTTAAAGTTTCCCTAAACGACGGGACCGTACAGATTATGAAAAGGAGTTTGATCTTTGTTTTTGCAGGGATATTTTTTCTGTTAACCTCTTTTAATCTTTTTAATATGAATGTAACATAATACTGGTGCTGTTAAATGAGATCCTCTTAGTCTTCTTATTGATATTGACTCACCTGCCTGTCTGCTCCCTGTTCCCAGGTTGTAGTGCCTACCCGTGTTGGACAAGTGTATGTGTACGACACAGTAAAACCAGACCAAGACGAGTACGACATCCCACCAAGACATCAGCCTCCAACCCAGCAGGACATATATGACGTGCCTCCCACCCGCCAGCAGTACAGTACACAGGTAAAACTGCTCTGTGTGTGTGTGTGTGTGTGTGTGTAATTCTTCTTGACTGAGTGTGTTCTCGTTAGGGTTAGCCAGTGTGAATAGTCACATTGTATATACTGTGTATGTCTGTATTGTTATCTATGAGTACCACACCTGGTTTGAGTAAGACAATGTGCACAAATCATGGCTATGTGAATTCTGTTTAACTGAAGAGATTGTGCATAAAAACAGAATGCAAAAGATGAAATCACATGCTCAGGCACTTTATTTAAAACAATTCTAATCCTCACATCCTCATGTTTGTCTTTAACATTCGCAAAATCTCCTAGCATCACAGCTGCTTATCACTCAATACCAGCACCACACATGGTATAAGGTTAGATTCAAGACCACATAATCAATATTAAAACAAAATATTAAATAAGTCAAGCTATAACCTAATATAACAAAGTAATAACACAGTTTGGTTATTCTGAGTAATAGCCTGTTAGCAGCTGCAGTGTATGTAGTATTAACTGTTGAAATGCATGTTGTCACAGTAGTTCTGTGGTGTAAAGATGTCAGTGTATGAGTCTTTCCCTTCTCATGAGTGTAAGAAAGGAAAGACAGGTGGGCGGAAGATGTGTAGCTGTAGTAACAGATTTAGTTGCTTTGCCTTGAGGTCTCCAGTCTGAAAGGTGAAAACTGAACACCGCGACACAAAGCTGTTCATCAAAATGTGTGCTGTGTGAGAGAAGGCTCATGGCAGATGGTTGTGATCATAGCAAGTAATCACACATAGTACAGCTGAGTGTCACACTCGCTGTGTGTCTGTGATATACCAGAAATGCAATACAATAAATCTATTGAATTCCACTTATTTCAATCAAAATGAATGAAATTTAATCTTATTTTGAAAAACATTGTGCACAGTGTGTACTAGCAAACACACACACACTGTTGACATGCTGCACTGTATACGGTAATGATGGAAGCCTATGAACAGTGATTGCTGAAACAAGTTGTGATCATTGCGTGTGGAACATTGGATGCACTGTCACAGTTGACAGACAGTAACACTGTAACATTTCACCAACCATACACAGTGGTTTGTTTTTCTACAACCCTGTGAGGACCTCTTGCTACACCTGAACCTGCCATTGCACATAGAATTTTGTTTTTTGTCCAGCATTGTCACTACCTACAGTATTTACAGTACCTTTGGTACATCTGGTACCATAGAACACAAGAACTTTCTTCTTTCCAGAATTCTGGCAACTTGGTATTAAAGTGTTGATTGTTGTGACATCAAAACTCAATAGTTTATATTTGACAGCTGAGATCTACTCATATCAGTTCAGAAATGTTTACAGTTGAATAGCAGCAATGATTGTACTGTAGAAAAAGAATCCTATTTCTAGCTGCCGCACAGAAACTGAGCTGTTACACTCAACATACATGACAACTGTGCAGCAGTTACAGCGTAACATGAAACATTTAGAGGATCAACTCTTGGCAAGGAAGCTGTTGGGTTTGGATTCTGTCTCTCCTTGTGTGATGCTCTCTTAGTCTCGCTGTTTCTTTCAAATTCAAATGAACTATTCTGGGATGAAAATGCAGTTCTAAGAGATATAATGAATGTAGTACAGACAGTAAATTTAATGTGTTGTTCTGCTGATTTTCTTCTCTCTCTCTCTCTCCTCCTCTTCGTCTATCTATGTGTCTATCTGTTACTCTGCATCAAAACGGGTTATGTATGCACATGTATGTGTGCGCGTTTCAGGGGTTTGACGTCAGATGCAACAAGTGGTTGCAGTATGTGTGAGACGCAGAGTGACAAATGCAGAGAGAAGTTGACTGCAGAGCAGGAAGGACATAGAGAGTGGGCGTTAATAGATGGACATTTCCTCAATAAGCTTACTGTTTCACTAGGACCAGAACTACACTGAATTACATTTCTGTTCTATCATTCTCCATCTCCCCTTTTCTTTGGCTTGTCCTGTCAGCTCTCTCTCCTCTGTTTTGCCTCTTCTTCAACTTCCCTTCTCTTTATTTTCCTCATGTTTTCTCTTCGTCCTCTTGCCACTTTTCCTCCTGTTTTCCTACATTTTCTCTCTTTTCCTTCCTCCTTCTATCATCTCCCTGCATATCAGCTGTCTTCTTTCTTTCCTACATCCTTCTCTTCTTAAGTACCTCTTCATACTCCCTATACAACCCTCCGGTCTTCTTTTCCTCTCTCCCCAGATAAAGTGCATATGTGTGTGTGTGTTTGTGTGTACATATACATGTTTATGTGTACTTGTCGAGCTGTGTGTGTGTGTCTCTGTTGTGTCTATGTGTCTTTCTTGATTGTGTGTTTTATCTAATATCAAATAAATACAAATAGTCAGATTACATTCACTGGCACTGAAATGGTACTCAGGGATGTTTCTTTGTGATCTAACGGTCCTTTAAACAAATCTTACCTTTGCTTCCTCTCAGTTGTGGATTTCTTTATGGCTTATATGCAAAGACAGAGCAGAGCAAACAGCTCTGGGCTAACAATGCAAGATAATGGTCATTTTGTTAGACTTCACCTTCCAAGAAATGCCTGTGTAGCTGTCATCTGCTAAATACGCCAAAACCTCTGCTTGATAGCCAGATGTTGGGGTATCCTGTTGAAGCCTATCAGCCAGAAAGTGTTGATGAGGGCTGTCACTTTTTTTTTTCCAAGAGCCTAAAGTCTGCAATAACCAGAAAGAACCAAGAGAGCAGATTTTCAACCATTTGTACACAAAATCTGAATTTTTTCTACAGGCATGTTCACAATGCATGTCTTATGGACTAAACATTTCTCTTTTTAGTTCAGTAGCTTTTTTTGTTGTTAGACTTTCAGCTTACATCAGCATTTGCTCATTTTTATGTCAACGTTGTCTTGGTGTGGAGAAATCTCAAGAGCTTCTGGTCACATCAACAGCCGTCTGAACAACCACACTAAGTCACTTACATTTGCCATCTCTCCCATTATACAGCAGTATGATGGTAAACAGTTTCTGGAGTATTTGTTAATAGTAGACAGGTGTTACTCATCACCATCACTGCTGGAGTATGAGTCTAGTGTGAGGTATAGGCCCACTGTATGTTTGCTTTATTCTAATATACCACATCATTGTACTGATGAATGTGTCAGCATATGTGTATGTCAGTAATCTGTCAAGTGCATAGTGTGTAAAAACATGCTATTTATGTGTGTCTTTTCCTGCGATTTTTCTGTTTTTAGGTGTACGATACTCCTCCCATGGTGGTGAAGGACCCCTCTAGTGGTCAAGATATATATGACATCCCAGCAAGCACAGACAAGAACCCACAGCAGACTGTAAGTTTTCACTTATGGAAGTTAATATATACAACATAATTGTTTTGGTGCAATTATATAATGTTTATGCGTATTGCATTCTACCTGGCATAAGTTAACTGAAGATTGTGTACCCTTTCTTTCCTAGAGGAAAATATTTATGGCCTGGGCACCAACCAGTGTGGGGACCCTCTTGAAACTATTCTGTTTAGTCAGCCATTTTTAAATTTACTGTGCAGTTTTGACACAATTTTTGCCATTCATAGGCGTAATTGTTAAACTCCTTTGAGAGAAATAACCAGATCTTAATCATATTTGGGCAGTATACTTCAAAGACCTTTGTGATGATGATATACTGTGACATTTGTGAGCTTTCGTTGAACATGGCATCCATGTTGGTTTGGCAAATTTCAGTTTCTCACTATGAAAAAGAAAATTGTTGTAACTTTAATGTCAATTGTCCTATTTGCCACAAAGTTCTCCTGCTTGAGAGCAGTCCCAGACTGAACATATCGACATGTCTAAGTCATAGCACCCCCTATTGATGACAGAAAGTCAGCCTTATGTGACAAGCACCATCCAAATGACAAAATGTACACGGTGTGTTCAACACATGATACACAGTAACATGGCTGTAATGAATATAATTATTGGGTGTTCTCTAATACCACAGAGTGGACACAGAAAGTGACATATAATTCTCACTTGAGTGGTTAGAACTTTTGCACAGTGTACTATGAAATCATGCATATTATACCATAACACAGAAAGAGCATGTGCAATTACAAACGTGAGCTAGTTTATGATTGTAATTAAGACTCATTTGATGCAATTAGGTACAAAGACAAATCTATGTTCGAAACTAATAAACTAAAATCAGTCTTGGCAAAAGCAGCAAAAAGAAAGCAGCGCTTTATCTGTCACTGGAAAGCAGTTTTATGTGTACATACAGTATAAACAAGCAAGTACAACACTTTATGCAATACGGGATATTTTTCTCCCTCTGTCTCTTCAGGTCTATGATTTCCCACCATCTGTCAGCAAAGACGTCCCTGATTCTCTGCCAATAAGAGAGGAGACCTACGACGTGCCACCCCACTTTGCCAAACTAAAGTCCAAAGTCCCCGTCCCTCCTGGTCAGTACCTGCACAACAACCTCAATGACGATGACGAAGAGCCGCCGATTCCAGAGGATGTCTACGACGTCCCACCCCCCATCCTGACTGACAAGCATTATCACAGAGACAGGGGTGGACTCAGCCAGGCCCCCCAGGAGATCTATGACATCCCAGCCATTCTGCGCCCCGGAGGTCACCCCACCCAGGATGTGTACGACTTCCCCCGAGAACGAGAGGAGAGAGGAGGCGAGAGGGGAGACGAGTATATCTATGATGTCCCACCACAGGTAGGAGAGTTAGCAGACCACATCCATATGTTGGGTCAGGTGTTTGTTTGCCTTGAAACAAGAACCAAAAGTGAGAGGTCTGTTTCATTTCTGCGCATCCAGTGTGTGTGTGTTTTGATGAGGTTTGCAGAAAATGTACTGTTCGCCTTCTTTAAAGCAGAATGCAGTGGTTCAAATCCACAGTTTGTGTCATTCTGCTCTGTGGTATTACGCTTCACTCATCTCCTTGGTAAATGCAGTTGTCATTACAAACTAAGCTCACTCACTGTCACGCTGATCACTTTGTATATATTGAATATTACGTTATTTCTTTAGGTTTGTCTTGTTTCTTTATGAAAACAACGTAATCTGTGAATACATTATATTTTTATTATTGAGATGACCCACTTAGTCCAATGTCAGGAGGCAGGGAACCAATGATTAAGCTTACATGCGTTCTGTCTTAATGTAGATAGTCTCAGCATTGTTTTAATGGTGATGTGTTTTGCAGGTTGTACGTGATGCCCAGTCAACCAATGAAGAGCTGAACATGTCTTTCAAGCGGCTGTCTGCCTCCAGCACAGGAAGCACACGGAGCAACCACTCTGCTTCATCATTAGACATGGTCCCTGTCCGTGACACCTCCTCACTTCCTGCTCCTGGCTCCATTCCAGGGAAGCCACTCATCTTGGAACTGGATCAGGCCATGGAGCGTCTGTCTCGCCTCCAGCAAGCTGTTGAGTCCAGTGTTTCCCTCATGATGTCATTCATCACAGGCAACTGGAGGAACCCTGCTCACCTGGAGGGGAATCTCCCGGCTATTCATCAGGCTGCTGACAGGGTGCGCGCCACTGTTCGAGACTTTCTAGAATTTGCCCGGGGGGCTGTGGCCAATGCTGCCCAGGCCACAGACCGCTCACTGCAGACCAAACTAGGTCGTCAAGTGGGGAAGATGGAGGAGGTCTTCCAGAGTTTGATTCGACACAGTCAGAGCTTAGACACCGTTTCTTGGTCACATACAGCACTCACAACACCACCACCAGGAGGGGATGACTTGGATCTCCTAATTATGACAGCACGAGGCATCCCCGACGACGCCAAGCAGCTCGCCTCCTTTCTCCATGGTAACGCCTCACTGCTCTTCAAACGGACGACCCGGCAACAGCAGCAGCTGCCTCTCCCTCCAATCCCCGGGGAGATCAGTGGTCACATGACAGGATCAGGAAGTGGAAGCTTTCAGGGAGGGGAGAAGGTGAATATTCAGTCACGGCCCCTCCCCTCTCCACCAAAGTTTACAGCTGCAGAGGAAGAGGAAGGAGTGGACAGGCCGTATGAGACCACAGAGGAAGGCTGGATGGAGGACTATGACTACGTACATCTACAGGTACAAACACACACTAGATTCAAACCCTTTACTGTATCATAGCATATTTAAAGGCTTGGAATACATCACATTTAAATAAACAAGAATTCTTAGAGAGAAATGTGCTGAAACCACAACTAAAGACAACCATGAACACTGGGGTATGCAGAAAGAGTGCCTGTCTGATTTTATGGCCTACATGGTGGCGAAATAGGTCATAGTCAGGTATTATGAGACTACACTGATGAGCCACAATACTACCAGCTGCCTACAATGCTGTTAATCCTTTATGTACCTCCAGAAAGGTTCCAACCTGAGTAGGTCTGCACTCTACCAGATCACTAAGGGTGTTCTGTGATATCCAGCACCAAACACATTCACAGCAGTCCCAGAAGTTATGAACTACAGCTGCTGAGGATCAGACTTGTTTCAGTAGTTCTCAGCAGTTCATGATTGGTCCCTCCTCAGACCACTCCACTGTCAATAGCCACTTCCCGCTGCTGATTGGCAGCACGCCACAAACTTATCTTGTTCAGAGATGCTCTGACCCAGTCATCCGGCCGTAATGATTTGCCCCTTGTCACAGAGGCTCAGGTCTTGACATCTGCCCATTTCCTGCACACTCAACATGTTAACCCTTTATGGGGCAAATGACCATACATGGTAGCCTTCTTGGATGTTCAGTATGTCCACCCTGTGCCTCTCCTTGAGGTTGAAGGACCATGTGCACTTTGATTTAGTTTTTATATTAGTGCCGATATCACTACCTTACAAAAACATGTCATTAAACAAATGTTCCAGGCACTTTATTAACACTTTGTTACTGGTTTGTTACTGGTTTGTATTGAACTCCACTTTGATTTATTTTGTGAGATTAGTGCCAAAACCACTACCCCAAGATAAATATTACTAAATGAACTTGCCAAGCACTTTATAAATACTTTGTCACTGGTTGTGTAAGTACCATTACCTCAAACTGAAATATTTCTAAATAAATTGTAGTTTGTTACTTTTTCTTTTATTTATTATATATTCCCGTTTTAACCATAGACAGGCAAGTTAACATATATGGTAACTTTATTAATCTTGATTTGCAATATATCTATATATTTTTTTAAGTCACAAAAGTAAAAAATATCTTGAAATATCCTTCAATAACACCCTAGGGTTGAAGTTTTCATTTTCCAAGTATTTTTAAGGAGTGTCCTATAGAGGGATAACTACAAATCCAACATGGTCCAATATGACCCGGATATGCACAGTTTTTATGAGCTAGCCAATGTTGTTGCAAAGTACCACTGATCATTTTGACACCTGATTTAAATTTGGTTATTTGTGAAAATGAATATTAGTTGTGATCGCATTCTAGTTACTTGATTTTTAGTAGTTTTCATTAAACGTGATGCTAAAGGCCCATTAAATGCTTGTAGGTCATTAAATGATACTCAGCATTAACCAAGCAAAGTGTCCACTTGCCTGTGTATCACACATTTTTTGATGGAGGGATTAAGTGGACAAATCATGATCATTTTTGATAAATGAATAAACATTACGCATGTGATTTTTTGAAAAACTATACCTGAGCTGGAGCAGTTTTCCATACCCTCTATTTAGTCACCAGTTGTCCATTAATGTGTCCCCTGATGCATTGTTGGCATTGTACTGTTTTTAAAATGTTATGTTAGGTCTTGTCAGGTTTCAATATATGCTTTGCTCCACCAATGTTATTGTCACCTCAAGAGTGGTTACTGTTAGTACTGTTACTGATGCACAAATAGATGTGTTTTCATAAACTGTGTAAGTGTGTGCAAGTGGTGTAACAACTGTGTGTTGATCTGCCAGGGGAAGGAAGAGTTTGAAAAGAACCAAAGACAACTGCTGGAGAAAGGCAACATTATCAGACACAACAAGACGCAACTGGAACAGCAACAGGTACCTGTTTATGTGTTTTGTTATCTCTGTAAGGAGCCATTTTCACCCTCTGTGTGTGTGTTTTATACTGCTTCCCTATCCTTCTCTGCCTTAGTCCATCCCTTTGTTCTTCTTGTGTTTGTCTCAAAGAGTGACCATATATATCAATACTTGTGAACTGATCAAATGTAGTCATGATCTGGATTCTGGCAGCTGAACAGACAGAGACTACTGTTTAGAGATTTGAGCAAGTGAATCAGACCGAAATATTAAAAATTGGAAGGACAAAAACAGGATTTTAAACATTGAGAAGGCTCATATTTCCAACTCCACTGGATATTATGCTCTTGCCTATATTTAGAAGTTATTGTCAAGGGCTAGCAGATGCGGCAAATTGTGCTTTCATTTAAATGTTTATTCAAGGGCGTGGTGCCTTTCTGACCAGCTGGCCAGGCTCAAGAGTTCTTATACATTTAAATTTTACACATATTAAACTGGTCAATGATAAATTATCTGCACTTACAAGCTATGGAGCGGGTCTTTGGGACTGTTTTTTTCCTTGTTCGTCTCAGAGATAAAGATCAATTTGTGACCTACACAACCACACTGAAATAAAACCAAAAGTATTCTGCAACAAACACTTTTTTAAAATTATAAATTAATGGAAATAAACCCGTGTTTATTTGAATAAATTGTTTGTTTATAAATTGTCAAAATACAGTGAAATATGCATGTGTCAGGTACGTGTTTTGTCCGACTGAAACATATTGTCAGGATCATATCAAAACAGAGCAACTAATCTTAACATCTCAGAAGCTGGAACTAGAGAATCTTTTTCTTAATAAACAATTTAAAACAAAACTGTTATTTTTCCAAAGGTGAACTATTTGGCTACTCATTGCAGATTATTTTTAGGGATTAACTTTCTCCTTTCTCCCCTTCTCCCAGATTAAACAGTTTGAGAGGCTAGAGCAGGAAGTCAGCCGGCCAATCAACAATGACATGACGGGCTGGGTACCATCCCCACATCACCCTCTGGCCAACCAGGTGGCCCAGAATGGTTCTGGAGGCCCCTCCTCTTCCAAGTTGTGTCATGGCGACCGGCAGCTCCTCCTCTTCTATCAGGAGCAGTGTGAGCAGAATGTCACCACAGTGACCAACGCCATTGATGCCTTCTTTACCTCCATCAACTCCAACCAGCCACCAAAGATCTTTGTGGCGCACAGCAAATTTGTCATCCTCAGTGCACACAAGCTGGTGTTCATCGGCGACACGCTGTCACGTCAGGCCAAGTCTCCTGATGTGAGGGCCCGGGTTGCCCAAAGCAGCAACACCCTCTGCGAAAAACTCAAAGACATTGTGATCAGTACAAAGACAGCAGCACTTCAGTATCCTTCGCCTGGAGCAGCCAGAGAGATGACTGAGAGGGTGAAGGAGCTGGCAGGGTGTACACAGCAGTTCAGGATGGTGCTGGGACAACTGCTGGTGATGTAGGGGGCCGAGGGGGGTGGAGGAAAACAAACAGTGACACAAACTGAGACGTCCCAGTGACATGGGGTGGACTACCCTGTAGGCCTCTGATTACAGGGTAGGAGAACCAGGAGCTCCCTGGACATGTAGCATGGAAACCCCATGTGGCCCTGAATCCTGGGGGTCTGGGACCCTATCTGGGACCAGGGACAGCAACTTCACATCCATCCTCTGCTCTCTCCCTGTTTTGCCTTTCACCGGGACATTCCTCTCTCAACCCTCCTTTGTCTGCGCACTTTTTACTCTAGACAAACTAAAAGGAACATTTTATCTTCAGTGGGCTGGGCCAATGGCTGTAAAGTAATCATTGTAAATATTTAAGTTACCTATTTAGTCAGAAAACCTAAAAGAAAAGAGGCTAAAGAACTTCCATTATATAAATATAAATAAATATTTCTTTTTTGTTTGAAGAAAAGATGAAAACATTAGTGTAGTTTTAGACAGTATCAATAATTGTTATCAATATTGCTATACCATATAATTATTGATCCTTGTATCATTATTGTTATGGATGTGTAAATTCCAGATGATATGTATGACTCTATGTTGTTGTAAGTCTATGCTCTTTTTTTTTTTTATCCCTAACAAAGGCACACTTTCCAAAAAACACACTGGAGCACACACCCATCTTCAAACATCACATGATGACCTGCTGTTACCATGACACCTCAGTGTTCACAGTATGTTGCCACCTGTGGTTCAACAAGTTTTCCATGCTGGTTTCAGTCCACCACAGCAGGTGACACTGCTGCCGAAAGGTGTCCACATAACTGTACAGCTGCAGTACTGCAGGTGCACTTAAAATGATCTCTGTGCGACCTTGGATGCTTTTTTTTTGGAAAATTATATGTTGTTTTGTAAGAGGCATGTAATAGAGAAAAGGAGTGTAAAAGTTTAAGGACAGTTAATGCAATTAAACCTGCATTTCTTTTTTCTCTGACTCTGTGATATCATGTTTTTTTGAATCAGCCCAAAATTCTGTAAAATGTCTGGACCACCTGATGATGTTGTGCAGACAGGGGTGCACACAGGGGTTAAAATGAACTGGAGCCCACCGGAGCTGGGCCCTCTGGATGTTTAAATCACACTCTGCCGGAACTTGGCTCCAACTCCTTCAGTTTCACAGTATTACCAACCTGCATAAAACTCTTTAAATCTGATTTCAGACACTGTGTCTCAGGCTGGAAAAACCAGTGTAGAATGTCACTGTCTTTTCTTTGGGTTTATTAGACAGCTGTAGCATCACACTGCAGCAGAATTTATACTGTCTCCCCACTGAGAGAGTGGCTACAGGAGGCTTCTTCTTTCATTGTGATCATAGGTAGCCTTATTAGCCGACTACTACCAGCTGAACTGATCCACAAATTCACAGATTCTACAGTAAAACTACTGGAAACAAAGTGTTTGAGCTTAGGATGAATCCAGTATCATTTATTTTTAGCAAAAAACATGCTATTTCTGTTTAAAGGCATGTAAGAATAGTAAATAGAAATAATGAAAAAGGTCTGCCATCGCAGTGTATGTGGGTATAAGTGGGATGTTCAGCTAAACTTCCTTAACTTCATTTACCTTATTGATTCATCCAAATTACCAAATGCTACAGAAAGTATACCAATAAAATCAAACAAAAATTAGAATTGTCTGGCTTTTCCCCAGAAGGGATATTTAGAAAGTCGGTTAAGTAAAAGTTTACTTTTGGTACAACAAAACAAATTACCATTCCAAAAATGTTGCTGCTACACATCTTGCCAGAAACAGTCTTTATTTGCCTGGACATTCCACATCCATAGATCCCAATGTGTACAGACTTATCCACCGCTACTTTCCCCCCCAAAAAAATGTTGTCATTTCTACTGTGTGCAGTCTGATCTGAGAGCCCCAACCTCACTGGACAAGGGATCCCCCTCCGGACAAATTCCAGTTTGAACAGAGGTCTGTGTTTCGCTATTATTTCCTAACCTATACCAATATCCAAAAATTATTTCAGTACACGTAGAAAGTGAAGTATTAGTGTTGCGTAGCTACTGAGCAGGTAAGTCAAACTTCATTGGCACTGCAAATTTCACTGGGATGCTGATCCAACAAGCCAAAAATCTCACATTAGCCTTATGATGTTGCATTCATAGTTAATGTACAGAGATCAATATAAAAATGTCAATTAAAAAATAACTTGCTAAAAATTTGTCTCACACACAGAAGGAGTATCGATATGCTAGTGAGGTTTTGTCATTGTAGTTTATTATTTTTAAAAGCAGCCTTTAGGAAGTAGTTATAAGCAAACAATTTCAGATGATAAGAACACACAGTTTCTACTGCAGAAAATGGATCCCTCTTGTATGAAACTTTGCTGATGTCTGGACTGCTGACTGAGCATGGGGCTATATTTGAATTCAGACAAGCAGCAGCGCATGTAAAAGAGAGGTAAAACTGACTGAAGAACTCCTCAGTGTTTTTGTTACTTTTATGCTATCATATGCTTTTTTTGTTTCTGAAAAATCATCTTTCTCTGGGCCGGATGTGGTCGTCATGGTGACCACTACCAGGGGATCATGTTGCCCCCCCAGTCGAGAAGCCTCCCACTATCTTTGTTGCTCAGTGATGAGATCACACTGAGCACGGAAAGTGCACTGTCCTGGGAGGGCAGAGGAGCCTGGGGGAGATAACAAACACAGACAGACAGTCAAAATGCAGGGAGGAGACAGCAGGGGTAAAAAAATTAAAAATTAAAAATTAAAAAAAGAAAACAGTAAGAGCCTTGTAAGAATTACTAATTTGCTCACTCAAAAATCCAACAGAACAGTTTGTTTTTATCTGCAATTTTACATTATCATCATTAATGAAACACACAGTGTGTCCACAGCAGCACAAGAATCAAACAAACTATTTTTTTCTAGGTGAATATATAGTGTTTACATATACAGCCAAGTCTATATGTATATACAGTGTTAAACAAATTTATGAGACCACCTGTCTAATTTCTTGGGCACTATATACATATATATATATCCTAAAATCACCCGTATCTTACATCTGCTCCTCCCATCTCAGTGCGAACCCAGCCTGGGTGGATGCCTGCCACCAGTATGTTGTGGATCTTGAAGTCCTCAGCTTGACAGCGAGTCAGCATGTTCAGTGCTGCCTGGGGACAGCAGAACTGCCAGATTTCATTGTTGCTCACACAACAAATTCTTATTTTGCATATTTGGCATAATTTTACATGACAATACAGGTTTCTGAAACCAATCAGAAAACAATACAATGAAGCTGACAATTATTTACATAAATAACCACATGTCACATCCATAAACCTGACCAAAATCACTTAACTTAAACTAGAGCTTTCAACACACACCCAAGTTACAGACTCTGTCGGGATCTCTTAAACAAGTAAAGGAGTCGCCCCCTGCTGCCTGTTAGAAAGAGTGCAGGCTTAAGACACTCCTACATTGACTTCAGTTGTCACACCCAGAGCTGCAACCTTGTCTATGTGCACTATGAGTTGGAAAACCATGGTTTTATTGGTAGCCCAGTAACAATGTTATAGAACTTTTTCATTTGGTACACTATGGGAGTGGTTTCACCTCTCATACCTGCTGATGATTGCCTTAATATTGGCCATAAACGCAAAAACTTTTATTTCTCATAAAGTCTGCTTCTGACTGGCACCATACTTTACAGTTTTAAATCTGCTATTATTACCAAAGGGAATTCTTTGCACATCTATTACATGAGGCAGGTCCGTCAGAGAGGGACGAGCACATGTTCATTTATATAATGCCATTCACAATATATGTCATTTCATAGCACTTGAGATGACACATCTCATAGCACTTCACATAGTAAGGTGAAGCCCTTACATTTATTAAACAGAGAACCCAACAATCCAAAGTTTCCTTTGTATTCCTTTTGAGCGAGCAGTTGGCGACAGTAGGAGGGAACCGGGGCTAATTTAACCATAGCTGTGACGTTGATTGTGAACTTTGTCTCTCTCGCTGTTTTGGCAGCTGTTCCTTCTCATCCTTAAAAGATTATGTTTTCATATTACAAAAAAAAACAAACAAAAAAAACAAGCAGCAAGTTGAGGTAAAGTTCTATTAAGTACAAAACAGACTGCTGTCCAATGTCTAACTTGCAATTAAATTTATTGGTGCAATGTTTCCACCTTCCAGTTTGCCTGATGAAGATCTAGCACCTAAACATTGCATTAATAAATTCATCATTGTGAGTTCGACAGCGTGCAACATTCAGTTTTGTACATGTTGGATGTGCTTGTCCATCTCCTATGCAACTGCCTCATGTAATAGATGTGTGAACACTTTCCCTGGGTTTAAATCATGAAAGCTCTATTAAGTGAAATTGTTGGTGTACATACTCAATACTTCCAATTTAGATTTGCGCCAGCAGTAAGCCAGCAGTACCTTGCTGGTCCTGTAAGGGTACATCTGTGCTATTGGGAAGTTCTCTGGGCATTTCTCTATGGATGAGAACATGGTCGAGACGTTTATGATGGCTGACCTCCTGCAGGACATTTTATTACCTAAGACACAAAGAGAGAGACCAAGATACTTCCATCATGACTTAGAAACAATCCTGACTATATTACTAGAACACATTTCAAACTTCACATCTTCACCTTTAATGGCTGCATTTGAAATGTTGATTAAAAAGCAGCCACTTTTTCTAGCAATTCTGCATTTATAGCCAGTTACCTGGGCACTTCAGCAGGAAAAGCATCATTTAGCAAAGAATCTGAAGTTAAATCCAAGGCCTCTGACACCTGAAGCACACCCTTACCCCTCAATCATCACACAACACAACAGAAGCACCATTTTTCTTTTTTCCTTTAGGAATTAGTACATATGTCTTATAAGGGGATGGACTGGCCATTGTGAGTGTAACTGGCAATGACAACACTGCTGTTAAAGTGAAATAAAATGGGAACTGCAACGTGGACAAGAGTGACCCTCATGTGAAATAAACTGTCTTGCAGATGTGTCGAAGGAGATAGAGCCTTTAGATCTGGTTATAGTAAAATCCTTCAACTGGTTGGCTATGGAAGGGACCTGGATCTGATGTCTGTCAACCCAGAGGCACACTCAGGGATAGAAGCAGTGCTAGTTTTCTTACCAGGGAACCAGAGACATGTCGACCATCTGGGTTTACTTAATGCTGTGGTGATACGAGTTTTTGTGCTATGTGTGAAACTTTGTTTAGTATAGGTGTTTGTTGTTTTCTGGTGGCTGCGAGTGTGTTTCAGGCCGGGCGGGGTTTCTGGATGGGAGAACACTCCCTCACTCTTCTCTACACCTGATGCGCATCATTAATCAGCGTTGGATAAAGCCTGCCTCCACCTGTGCTCCAGCGCCAGTGGATTATCCTTCCCAGAATGGTTACAAGCCAGCCATGCTTTGCAAACTTTGTGCTTTGTGATACTTGCAGTGTCTAACGTGTGTTCATCTGCGCTTTTTGCCAGAACCCATCCTTCTTTGGAGTTGCAGTAAACCTCCCAATTTCTAAGGCGAATGGTAATGTTCCGGATCGCAACTGTGCACACAGGAGTCTCTGTCTTTTACTTTTGGTTACACACCTCTGTTCTTTATAAGATAGTAAGTTCTTAGTTTTGTTTATACCAAATATTACCAGACCATTTTACTCTAAACATAAAAAACATATTACTCCTCATCTCCTGGAAGTCACAAACTAACTTGTTATGGAAAATAAATGATGAGTTGTTCAAATGAAATAAAGATTTCAACTCATTTACCCAGGAGTGACTGTTGGAGATGTCCCAGTTAAATTTCTTTTTTGTGAGGCTCTGATTGGACATCTTCACAAGTCTATTTCAGAGGCGAAGCATTTGGCATTTATGTCTGATGTTTGGAGGTTCCCAGCCCATTTCTCCACTAATGGCCATAACTGAAATAAATTTATTCCAGAAATGATCTAATTGCTCTATAATGCACTGTATTACAGCTTGTATGTTCTCGGGAACTCCCAAACACCAGAAGCATTGTCGGACACGGGACACACACATGAATTGTATAGCTGTGTATAAGTTTGGAATCCTAAATTACCACAATGCTTTACTTTGTTCAGTAGTGATCCCAAAGCTCTGCCTGCAGACTGAGATAAAACATTAACAACTTACTTAAATGTCATGTGTTGGTCCATTGTCAAACCAAGATATTTATACTGGTCAGTATATGACAACACTATCAGACCAAAATTAAAAACAACTGAACTTCTTTCCAATGATTTGCTCCTAAAATGAACAATTTGTGTTTTGTCTTGATTTATCACTTTGTCTTGATTTATCACTGGTGTACGTTTCCAGCACCATTCCTCAACAGTGTTCAGCATACTCTGCAAATTTTCTTCATTTTTGGCGAGTAGAACTACATCATCTGCATATAATAACATGCTCACAGTCTGGTCAAGATTTAAAATAAGATTTGTTTTTTAAAAAGAAAAAGAATTCATGCATGTAAAATTATACATATTTTATATGCTCTATTCAGTTTCTTGTTGCCCACTTCTTCAGAGTAAATAAAAAAGGAAACTCTTGTGCAGCTTTCTTTAGTCAGAGTAAGGTTGTGCTATATCATAGTTGTATTTACAGAAGGTGTAGACAGAGCCTGGTTAGATCCACAATGAAATACTTTAAGGATTGAAATGTGACTGATATTTGTTTGCCCTGCAAAAAGAAATTTCAATAGTTGCAGAAAACGCCTGTTCTCGGATGACTGTGGCTTATTTGGAAGAGGTCCCTCTGCCTGCTGAAGTGTCCTTGGGCAAGACACTGAACCCAAAGTTGCTTACAATATTGCCACTCGTGTGTGAATGGGTGAAGCCTGTCAAGCGCTTTGAGTACCACTAAGTTAGAAAAGTGCTTTATAAATGCAGACCGGTTACGGTTCTCATAAACTGTTAGCTGTTTCTACACCGTGTCCATATGTGCTTGTCAGAAATGTTTTTCATCTGCCTCAAAGTTTTATGCGGATTAGTGCAATATTTATTTGGAATGGTATTGTAAGTGTCCACTGACTCTGCTTTTTCTCTACTCTTTCTATTTCCCACTGTGTCAGAGATACAAATAGTACTACATTAAAAAAGATTCATACCATTGTCCTTTGCAGGTGAGTCTCTCTCTGCTGCTCTTTGCAGGAGTGGCAGCAACATCTGAAAATATGGAAATGATGAACTCATTAATCAACCCAAGACCAAAATTTTGTTGTAATTACTCATAGTCTCCATCCATCCATTTTCTATACACATATTATCCTCTGTAGGGTCACGGGGGGCTGAAGTCTACACCAGCTGACTTGAAGAAGACAGGGGACACCCTGGACAGGTCACCAGTCTATCACAGGGCCACACAGTGACAGACAACAAGCACCCTCACAAACACACCTACAGATAATGTAGAATTACAAATTAGCTTCAGCATGTCTTTGGACTGTGTAAGGAAGCTGAAGCATCTGGCACACACAGAAAGATCCTAGACCAAGATTAAAACCCAGGACCTTCCAGCTGTAAGGAGACAGTGCTAACCATTCACCACTATGCTGCCCTACTCATAGTCTCTAACACCTAAATTGGAAAACACAAAAGCCAATTCAATTAGTTCTTGTCTATCGCCCACCTGCCCCTTATACTGAGTATTTATCTAATTTAGTGCTCAGTACAGATAAAGTCATTATAATGGGTGACTTAAATGTCAGTGTAGACGATATTGCTATCCCAGCTGACTTAGGGTGAAAGCAGG